TCGGACTCTTCGGACGATGAGAAGCCCAAGTCCAACAAGCGCAAGGCTGAAGCTCCTGCTGCCGAGAAGAACAGCAAGAAGGCGAAGCGTGACGCCGAGTCCAGCTCGGATGACAGCTCGTCGGACTCTTCGGATTCCGATTCGGATTCGGACTCCGATTCGGATTCGTCGGAGGATGAGGAAGCTCAGAAGAAGGAGGCTGCGCGTCGTGAGCAGGCCGCTAAGGCCGCTCTGGAGTGGCAACCCAAGAAGATCGAGAAGGTGGCCACAAATGCCAAGGCGGCAGGCACCCCGTTCCAGCGTGTGGACGGTGAGTACTGGTCGCAGAAGATCGTGGACGACACGCTGCGTGACAACAGCTACGAAGGCACTTTCGGCGCTGACGGAGTAGGCGTCAAGGCCAACAACAAGCTGCTCAAGACCCGTGGTAAGGACTTCACCAAGGGCAAGAACAAACTCAAGCGTTCGACGTACATGTGCGGCGCCATCAGCATGGCTTCCAACTCGTTCAAGTTCGAGGACTAGAATCAAAGGATTCCCTTATCATCCCTTACTTTGCGATAGTACAACCTATAGAATATAATTCTCGTTACATTTTCCTTTACTTCAGTGGCTTTCGAGACTGGAAACTAGTGTCTGCAGCTCTTTTAGACCCCGAGTTGAAGGCTGCCAAGTGTCCAGGCAGGGGAACTCGTTTGTCAGCGTTGAAGCTGAACTCGAGCTCTTCAAGTTGAGCGCCATAGCGTTTGAGTCTGAAACACGAAGGCCGGGAACGTAACGTTCCGGTGCCTTGGTCTTGTCACCAGTGCCAAACATCGCAGCTGATACCTGCTTCGTCCGCAGTTTGTACGCGAACACTTTAGCCTGTAGCAGCTTCTTCTCTTGTATCAAGAGTGAATCTGCTGACTGCTTTGTTTCTCCGGCCTTCGAAAGCTCAATAGCACGCGCGATATCCTTGTGTGCAAGGTCGAATTCGTCCTTCAATCTGTAAGCCTGGGCTCGACGATAGAGTGCCTTGACGTTATTCGAGTCAATTTCGAGTGCCTGGTTGGCGTGATGCACTGCATCATCCAGATGCATTGTCTTGAGTCGGCAAGCAGCGAAATTGAGCAGAAGTTTGAGTTTTAATGCGTCGGCCTGGACTTCCTCTTCATCGGTATCTGGAAACACATACTCGAAATATACGAGTGCTTTGTGGTAGTGGAACGCCGCTCGCTGGTATTGACCGTGCTTGAAGAAGAGGTTGCCCAATACTCTGAACTCGTCACAAGCTGTTAGCTTCTCCTGGGTTGTCATGTCCATCAGCTTTTGCTCCTAAACATTTCGGATGTAAATACCACAAATAACGAATATGTGCCATAAATAATTGCCATATTTCATGCTTGGTATCTTACGGCCGAGTGGTCGTGGTTGCAGCCCATTTGAGCTTTGGCTGCTCGCTCGCTGCGCTCTCGGGCCTCCTGCTCTTGTCTTGCGAGTTCTTCGGGGTCCTCCCACGCGTCCCACTTCTCGTACGTCCGAGTCCAGTCGTAGCTATTTTCTTGCTGCTGCTTGTGGTGCTTTTGCTCCACTTTGGCCAACTTCGACTTGGCCCGAGCCACATTTTGCTCAGTCTCCACTAAACTCTGCTGGGCCTCGACGGAGTGGCGCTCTTTCTCCACGGCCATTTGCTCCAGCATCCGGGCCACGTCCGGTGTGAATCCGCAAGACATCGCTACTAAACGACAAACGAAAATAACCTCTTCGTATTTTATTTATTTTAGTTTCGTAAATTTCGTTTAAGCACGAAATTCTTCAAGTTGAAGAAGACCAACTCAACTGTTCTGAACGGAAATTGAATTTATACTAAACTGAGCAAACTGTTAGCACGAACTACTCTTTGAAAAGGACAACTCACACTGTTGGGATACCAGCCATTTATTGATGAACGCCGCCATCCAGAAGGATGTCGTTCTGGCGCTTGGTCGACACCCGGTAGTGTACGAACATGACGATACCAGCCACCGCTGCAATACCCAGAATGAACATACTGACCATACCTAGTGTAGTCATGCCGTGCGAGCTTTCCTCTGCCTCCCCGGTGCTAGTGGTCAATGACTCCGTCTTCTCCTTGATGG